TTGTCTACTCTGTCTGGCAGCAGCTCTCCAGGGTCTTGGGCAGAGGGTCTTTCACATCACCGACTGCCTGGTCCTTTTAGCTGGAGATGCTGGGGACTGAACCTGGGACCTTCTGCACGCCAAGCAGATGCTCTGCCACTGAGCCACGGCCCCTCTCCATGGCTCCACAAGGTCTCAGGCAGAGGGTCTTTCACATCACCGACTCCCTGGTCCTTTTTAACTGGAGATGCTGGGGACTGAACCTGGGACCTTCTGCACGCCAAACAGGTGCTCTGCCACTGAGCCACAGCCCCTCTCCATGGCTCTCCAGGGTCTCAGGCAGAGGGTCTTCCACATCACCGACTGCCCGGTCCTTTTTAACTGGAGAGGCTGGGGACTGAACCTGGGACCTTCTGCACGCCAAGCAGGTGCTCTGCCACTGAGCCACAGCCCCTGCTTTGACCAGTAGAAGCTCTCCAGGTTCGCAGGCGGAGGTCTTTCAAATCACCTACTGCCTAATCCTTTAATGGGAGATGCCAGGGATTGAACCTGGGACTTTCTGCATGCCAAGCAGATGCTCTACCTCTGAGCCGTGTCCCTAGGTCACCCAGCGAGCGTCATAGCAGAAGGGGAATTTGAACCCCCGTCTCCCAGTTCCTAGTCCAGCAGAGAGCCAGTTTGATGTAGTGGTTTAGAGCGTGGACTCTAATCTGGGAGAACTTGGTTTGGTTCCCCACTCCTCCACAAGCAGCCGCTGGATGACCTTGGGTCAGTCACAAGTTCTCTCAGAGCTGTTCTCTCAGGAGCAGGCCTCAAAAGAGCCCTCTCAGCCCCACCTACCTCACAGGGTGTCTGTTATGGGGACGGGAAGGAGATTGTAAGCTGCTGTGAGATTCCTTCAGGTAGTGAAGTATAAATCCAGTCTCTTTTTCTTCACCCTTATACCATCCAGCTGTCATGATATTCTACGTACACTGTAGGGTAGCAGGCAGAGTGGTGGGCTAGAACTACACTGGGCGACCTGGGTTCAGATTCCTGCTTCTACCATGGAAGCTCGTTGGGCAACCCTGGGCCTGTCACAAACTTTCAACTTGGCCTACCTCACAGGGTTTTTTTTTAATAGAATGGAGGACGTTAAGAACGATGTTCTAAACTGCTCTGAGTCCCAACTGTGGGGAATAAAATGGGATATAAACAAGCAATTCTTCATTTTCTCTCCAAGGGAACTGTGTGTTCGAACTCTCCCGTGTGCAAATGTCTCAAAATCATATTTAAGCTGTTCCACCACGCTTAACATTACTGGGAGGTCCTCCTTATTTATTTAGGATATTTATGTACCGTTTCTCCAGAAGAAAACCACTTGTACACACTCAGGGGCAGCTTTGTATTGTACGGATCTATGAAATGGGTATAACAGGCGCAGAATTCGATCGTTTGGGAATGGTGTCTTAGGGAGGGCTTTTTTGTGAAGGTGAGTTTAACACATAAGGAGACATTTTATACCAAGGGCGGCCGCTGGTCTGTCCTGTATGGTAACGTCTACTGAGAGTGAGAACTATTTTCCAATGTCTTGGGCAGAGGGCTTGCCCAGGTTCGTGATCGGTGATCCTTGGGCCACAGAAGCCGGCGGTTAAGAACATAAGAGAAGCCAATGTTGGATCAGGCCAATGGCCCATCCAGAGCAACACTCTGTCCCACAGTGGCCAAAAATACCAGGTGCCATCAAGAGGGCCAGCAGTGGGGCCAGGACACTAGGAGCCCTCCCACTGTTGCCCCCCCCCCGCACCAAGAAGACAGAGCATCACTTTCCCCAGACTGAGAGTTCCTAACTAGACCTTGTGGCTAATAGCCACTGATGGACCTCCGCTCCATATGTTTATTCAGTTCCCTCTTGAAGCCGTCCATGCTTGTAGCCGCCACCACCTCCTGTGGCAGTGAATTCCATGTGTGAATCACTCTTTGGGTGAAGGACTTACTTCTATCCTTTCTAACCCGACTGCTCAGCAATTTCATGGAGTGCCCACCAGAGTTCTTGTCTTGTGAGAAAGGGAGAAAAGTACTTTTTCTACCTGCTCTATCCCAGGCATCATCCTATAAACCTCGATCATGTCACCCCTCAGTCGTCATTTCCCCAAGCTGAAGAGCCCCAAGCGCTTTAACCTTTCTTCATAGGGAAAGCGTTCCAACCCTTTTATCCTTCGAGTTGCCCTTTTCTGCACTTTTTCCAATGCTATAATATCCTTTCTGAGGTTTGGTGACCAGAACTGTACACAGTATTCCAAATGAGGCCGCGCCATCGATTTATACAGGGGCATGATGATAACTAAATTCAAACTGGGACTTTGTAACAAGAGGTAGACTTTACTAATAAAGGGGGCGGGGGCAGTAATGTGGTTCAGGGCAAAACCTACATTGATGGGCAGCCCCAGTATTTGGGGCTGTTCTTCCTATTCAGGAGCTGCTGTGGCTCAAGCGGTTAAGACGCTGGACTGCAGGCTGTGGAAGGTCGGTAGTTCAGCAGTTCGAGACCCGAGTGTGCCACATGACGGAGTGAGCTCCCGTCTCTAGTTCCAGCTCCTGCCAATCTAGCAGTTTGAAAGCAAGACGTTGCAAGTAGATAAATAGGTACCACTTCGGTGGGAAGGTAACAGCGTTCCGTGCGCCTTGGTGTTTATTCATGCCGGCCACATGACCACGGAAACGTCTTCGGACAGCGCTGGCTCTTCGGCTTTGAAACGGAGATGAGCACCGCAACCCTAGAGTCGGATTCGACTGGCTTTCGAGCAAGGGAACCTTTACCTTTTCCCCCCTTCCTATTCAGATTTCAAATTGCTTATTTGGTTGCACTGAAACCAAAGGGAGCAGTGGGGAACCAATCCCATCCCTCCCTATGTAGCCACACCTCTTCTTCTGATTAGCTCCGCCCCTCAGTTCGGTTTCGTGATCACACTGGAATTTTGACCAAGGGACAGAATGCACAAACTACATGGAATATGCTGGGGGGGGGGGGGGACAGGGGGGGTTAAGATCGATGGGGCTTGTCGTGTATGCTGAAGTTGGAGCTGATTTCTGCCAACCCCTTGTGGGGTTTCCAAGGCAAGAGATGTTCAGAGGTGGTTGGCCCTTGTCTGCCTCTTCATCGCAACCCGGGTGTTCCTTGGCGGTCTCCCATCCACGCCTGACCCTGCTTAGCTTCTGAAGTCTGACGTGATCAGCTTAACCAAAATTTATGTGGCTACTAAAAAGTGCATGACAAAAGTATTGAAATGGGTAGCTTTTTAAGCATTTGGATTTTAGAATGGTGAGCTACATTCTCCATCACATTCTCATAAACAAGGCTGTGTGATTCTCCTCTCCAAGAAGGCAGTGAGAAGAAGAGCCCAGCTAGTGAGGGTCCGTCTAGTCCACCATCCTGCCTCACACAGTGGCCTCAACCCTCTGGAGGGCCAACAACGGAGCAGAGAGGCCAAGGCCTTCCCCTCATAAGAATATCAGAAGAGTCCTGCTGGATCAGACCAGTGAGGGTCCCTCTAGTCCAGCATCCTGTCTCACACAGTGGCCAACCAGTTCTTCTGGAGGACCAACAACAGGGCAGAGAGGCCGAGGCCTTCCCCTGATTTTGCCTCTAGTCCAGCATCCTGTCTCACCCAGGGGCCTCAACCAGTTCTTCTGGAGGGCCATCAACAGGGCAGAGAGACCAAGGCCTTCCCCTCATAAGAACATCAGAAGAGTCCTGCTGGATCAGACCACTGAGGGTCTCTCTAGTCCAGCATCCCATCTCACACGGTGGCCTCAACCAGCTCCTCTGGAGGGCCAACAGCAGGGCAGAGAGGTCGAGGCCTTCCCTTCATAAGAACATCAGAAGAGCCCTGCTGGATCAGACCAGTGAGGGTCCTTGTAGTCCAACATCCTGCCTCACACAGTGGCCTTAACCAGCTCCTCTGGAGGGCCAACAACAGGGCAGAGAGGCCGAGGCCTTCCCCTCATAAGAACATCAGAACAGCCCACCTGGATCAGACCAGTAGCCGCATCTAGTCCAGTATCCTGTCTCACACAGTGGCCTCAACCAGTTCCCCAGGAGGGCCAACAACAGGGCAGAGAGGCTGAGGCCTTCCCCTCCTAAAAACGTAAGAAGAGCCCTGCTGGGTCAGACCAGTGAGGGTCCATCTAGTCCAGCCTCCTGTCTCACACAGTGGCCTCAACCAGTTCCTCTGGAGGGCCAACAACAGGGCAGAGAGGCCGAGGCCTTCCCCTGATGTTGCCTCCTGGCACTGGGATTCAGAGACTTAGTGCCTCTGGATGTGAAAGCTCCCTTCAGTCACCATAGCTAGTAGCCATTGATAGACGTATCTTCCATGATTCTATCTAATCCCCCTTTAAGGCTGTTATTCCTGTGGCCATCACGACACCCTCCATTAGCGAATTCCCCATTTTAATCCCTCGCCGTGTAAAGTAGTATTTCCTTTTGTCCACCTTGAACCAACTACCCATCAGCAGTGTTCCGTCTAAGCTGAGTTAGTGTGAGCTAGCTCACAGTTTTTTAGCCTCCAGCTCACAGATTTTCGTCTTCGCTCAGGAAGGAGGGCTCCAGAGCAAACTAACTTATGCCATAGCCAAATCGCTCGCTCACAACTCACAAAGTAGAACTTTTGCTCACAAGACTCCACAGCTTAGAGGGAGCATCGCCCATCCGTTTCACTGGCTGAACTACCCATGTCTATCAATCCCAATGAGCAATGCTCCCTCTAAGCTGTGGAGTCTTGTGAGCAAAAGTTCTACTTTGTGAGTTGTGAGCGAGCGATTTGGCTGCTGCCTAAATTAAGTTTGTTCTGGAGCCCTCCTTCCTGAGCTGAGACAAAAAAAAAGTGAGCCAGTGGCTAAAAAAACTGTGAGATTGCTCACACTAACTCAGCTTAGAGGGAACACTGCCCATGAAGCGGTCATCATCTGCCCCAACCACCAAGCAACCTCTCCAAATCCATTATGCAGAAAGAACAATACAGGACTACACTGCAGGACTGTGGTCAGCTTGGAACACTTAACGTGCTATATCCATAGTAAGTAGTATTGTTAAAGTACAAGTACTCCTTCAGCCAATGACAAGAGTGCAACCAATTTCGATTGTCAGTCCAGGGAGAATATCCCCCCCCCCCCGGTGCCGCTTCCAGGGCGCCAGTCCTTTGCAGCCAGGATCAGAACTTCATGCCACGCTGGGCGAGGTCATCCCGGGCCTCCCGGATCTGGGCGTGCAGCTCCCGCGCTGCCTCCTCACAGTCATTGAAAGTCGCCAAGCGGTACCCGACAGTGCCTAGAGAGTAGCAGCCAAACGTCACCAGCAGGTAGGTGGGCAGCAGCCACAGGACTTGGTACACAGGAGGGGGCAGTGGATCGAGTCCCAAAAGGTTCAGGGTTAGGGTCGCCCAGGTGCCACCCAGAAGAGCCAACATGAAGAGCCACTGCAGTAGCTTCGTCATGGTGTCGAATCTGGGGAAGAAGAGAAAATCAGAGTTTGATTGGCACAAAGTGGCATTTGTCGTCACATAAGAAGAAGGGATTGGATGTATACCCTGCCCTTCACTACCCGAAGGAGCCTCAGAGCGGCTTACAAACTCCTTTCCCTTCCCCTCCCCACAACAGACACCCTGTGAGGTAAAAGAAGAAGAAGAAGAGATTGGATTTATACCCCGCCCTTCACTACCCAAAGGTGTCTCAGAGCGGCTTACAATCTCCTTTCCCTTCCCCTCCCCACAACAGACACCCTGTGAAGGAGATGGGGCTGAGGGAACTCTCTTGAGAACTGCCCTTGAGAGAACTTGTGTTCTCTGTAAGCTGAGTTAGTGTGAGCCAGCTCACAGTTTTTTAGCCTCTGGCTCACACATTTTTGTCTTCGCTCAAGAAGGATGGCTCCAGAGCAAACTAACGTATGCCGTAGCCAAATCGCTCGCTTACAACTTTAACGCCAGTAGCTCACAAAGTAGAATTTTTGCTCACAAGACTCCATGGCTTAGAGGGAGCATAGATTGTGACTGACCCAAGGTCACACCAGCAGCTGCAAGTGGAGGAGTGGGGAATCAAACCCGGTTCTCCCAGATAAAGAGTCCACGCTCCTAAACACTACACCAAACTGGCTCTCGTAACATAAGAAGGTCTGTTGGATCGGGCAAATGTCCCGTCAAGTCCAACGCTCTGTGTCACACAGTGGCCAAAAGCTAGGGGCCATCAGGAGGTCCACCAGCAAGGCCAGAACTCCAGAAGCCCGCCCGCTGTTGCCCCCTAAGCACCAGAGCATCACTGTCCCAGGCACAGATTCAGGTGGGGTAGCCGTGTTGGTCTGAAGCAGCAGGACAAAGTTTGAGTCATTTAAGACCAACAAAGTTTTATTCATTGGATAAGCTTTCGTGTGCAAGCACACCTCCTCAGTTCCCTGCTCCCCTGCCCCAGCCCCAGCAGCCAAAAATTTCTGGCTACAGGACCGGGTCCCAGGTTCAATCCCCGGTATCTCCGGTTAAAAGATCTGGCAGTAGGTGATGTGAAAGACCTCCGCCTGAGGGCCTAGAGAGCCGCTGCCAGTCTGGGTAGACAATACTGACTTTGATGGACCAAGGGTCTGATTCAGTATAAAACAGTTTCATGTGTTCGCGTGTGATCTATCTGCTAAGGAGCACCAGAGAGGCCCTTTGTGACACTAACAGTTAGCAATCCACTAACAGAAATTCAGCCTGTAAAGCTTTCCTTTGATGACTTTCCAAGCCAGGAACACCTGGTGCCTTTGGGCTCTGCCTGCAATACAACTAAACAATGCAAGTTGGGGAGGGGAGAGTTTGAATCCACCCACTTCCTAATGCCACGCCACCCTCTGCATCCATTTTTCATGCAATTGCACAAGCATGCATTCTTTTCTTCCATGCCACTTTTACCACCTTTAGCATTTTATCGCATTTTAAGTGTCCAACTCCCGGGCATCGCCCCTCCCAGACTCCCTCCACCCCCCTCTCCACGCTCAATATCCCACCTATACATTCCTCCCCGGATCTCACCGATTCTCTAGTGTTCTTGTGCTTTTCAGTCGCGCGCGGTGACGTCACCTCCCTCCCACCAATCGCCGCCTTCTCCGATTCAAAGCTGCGTCCCGCGCAGTACCTTGGGAGTTGTAGTTCTTCCAGTGACACCGAGAGCTTTGCTTGCTTTGCCCTCGTAGCTGTGATTCCTTGTCCCTCAGTCTACCTTTGCAAGCTTGCTGGGGTTCCGTGCCACCAAGTTTCTATGCGCCAGCGCTCACAAAGTTTAAAAAAAATCAGGCGTGCCTCTGAGAATGTGCAGAGAGCAATGCAAAATAAGTGGCACCTTCAGAAACGAGGGCTGCCAACTTCCAGGTAGGGCCTGAAGTTCCCCTGGAATCTCACGTGATCTCCAGACTTCTTGGGTTGCCACCTCTGGGTTGAGAAATACCTGGAGATTTGGGGGGAGGAGCAAAGAGAGGGCGGGGTTTGGGGAGGGGAGGGACCTCAGCAGGGTATAAAGCAAAGGTCCCCGGTCCAAAACAGGCATTTTCTCCAGGGAGACAGATCAAGATGGGTTGCTGTGCTAGTCTAGCAGTAGAAAAGAGTAAGAGTCCAGTAGCACCATAAAGGCTAACAAAATTTGGTAGGGTGTGAGCTAGGGTTGCCAGGTCTGGGTTGGAAAATACCTGGAGACTTTGGGGGTGGAGCTAGGACAGGGCGGGGCTTGGGAGGGGAGGGGCCTCAGCAGGGTACAAGGCCACAGAGTCCACCCTCCAAAGCAGCCATTTTCTCCAGGGGAGCTGATCTCTGTCAGCTGGAGATCAGTTGCAAAAGTGGGAGATCCCCAGGCCCCACCTGGAGGCTGGCAACCCTAGTATGAGCTTTTGTGATATCTGAAGAAGTGAGCAATGACTCACAAAAGCTCATCCCCTGCCACATATTTTTTAATCAAGGTGCTACTGGTCTCTTCCTCTTTTCTACTGCTGCAGACAGACTGACACGGCGACCCGTCTTGATTTATCTGAAGAAGAGAGCAGTAACTCACGAAAGCTCATCCCCTGCCACATATTTTGCTAGTCTTTAAGGTGCTCCTGAAAAACACAAAAAGGCTCTACATCTGACAATAGGACTACAGATAAGATTAGAATTTCAACAGCCAATCCACATGCAAAAGAACCTCCTCAGGAAACAGGAAACCTCCTCAGGAAACAATCCATATACAAAAGAACCTCCTCAGGAAAGCTCCTCCATTAGCATGTTCATAGCCTGGGGGACTCCTACAAGATAATGACTCAGCCCTACCCCACCTTCCTGAGTAGATATAAATTACCTGCCTACCATTTTCCTTCTCACCTTGACACAGAGAGTACTCCATCTTTCTATGTTATACCTCTGAGGATGCCAGTCACAGCTACTGGCAAAACATCAAGTCCTGCAATGCCAAGACCATGGCCATACCGCCTGGAAAATCTACAGCAGCTAATGCTCCTGGACTCTTGCTCTTTTCTCCAGGGACCTGATCTTGGTCATCTGGAGATCAATTGTAATAACAGGGGGATATCCAGGTACCACCTGGAGATTGGCAAACCCTATTAAAGACTAATAAAGCCCCCACCCACCCCAGCTTAAGCATTTGTGAGTCAGAGCTCACCCCATTTAGATGTGTAATAAATGTGCGGCCTGCCTGTTTTCACATGCAGCTGCTGAAGTGGGCGCTGACTCAGCTTACGCTGGAAGAAATGCTGTTAATCTGTAAGGTGCCGTTGGACTGATGTTCTATTTCTGTGCGCTGCCACAGTCACGAGGAGTGGCCGCACATCTGGAGTGAGAGAAGCTGACTCCCAGGTTCTGCATCTGCAGCTTTTCAGGGTGTTCATAAAACTCTCAAACACCTGGCTCAGATCTTGGGACTGAACTCTAAAGCTGCTTTTTTCCCCCCAGAGGACAAATGACCTCTGGAGTCTAGCAGGTTTGCGGACATCCAGGTGGTTAAGATTGAAGGTCAAAGAAGACGGGGACGGCAAAGGATGAGATGGTTAGACAGTGTCATAGATGCAACGAACATGAAACTGAGCAAACTTCAGAGGACGGCGGAAGACAGGAGGGCCTGGTGGGATCTTGTCCATGAGGTCGCGAAGAGTCGGACTCGACTGTGCGACTGAACGACAACAAAAAGGTGGTTAAGTAAAACACTAAATCACCGTGTATAATTTTACAGTTTCCCCCCCGTTTTTATATTATGCGAAATGTGAATTATTAAAGTATTTTAGAATGATTCATTAGCACAAATAGACACCATAGTTTAATATTGACGATTCCGTCACCAGAACTTACAACGCAATAGCGTGGCACCAATATAGTATATGAACTATGCAGTACTAAGAATCTTGAAACATTGTCCTCAGTACTTCAAGACTGTGTTGAATCAACAACAATAGACAAACCTGATGAAGAAATCGCAAACGGAATGATTACTAGAACACCATTGTTTGCCTTAGTTGTTTTGGTAGTAAGTACATTAGATTAGGAGTCCTGCTCCCTCTAAGCTGTGGAGCCTTGTGAGCAAAACTTCTACTCTGTGAGCTACTGGCATTAAAGTGAGCAAGCGATTTGGCTGCTGCATAAATTAGTTTGCTCTGGAGCCCTCCTTCCTGAGCGGAGACAAAAATCTGTGAGCTGGAGGCTAAAAAACTGTGAGGTAGCTCACACTAACTCAGGACTAGATGGACCCTCAGTGGTCTGACCCAGCAGGGCTCTTCTGATGTCCTTATGAGGGGAAGGCCTCAGCCTCTCTGCCCTGTTGTTGGCCCTCCAGAGGAACTGGTTGAGGCCACTGTGTGAGGCAGGATGCTGGACTAGAGGGACCCTCACTGGTCTGACCCAGCAGGGCTCTTCTGATGTTTTTATGAGGGGAAGGCCTCGGCCTCTCTGCCCTTTGCTGGCCCTCCAGAGGAACTGGTTGAGGCCGCTGTGTGAGGCAGGATGCTGGACTAGGTGGACCCTCACTGGTCTGATCCAGTAGGGCTCTTTTGATGTTCTTATGAGGGGAAGGCCTCGGCCTCTCTGCCCTGTTGCTGGCCCTCCAGAGGAACTGGTTGAGGCCACTATGTGAGACAGGATGCTGGACTAGAGGGACCCTCACTGGTCTGATCCAGCAGGGCTCTTCTGATGTTCTTATGAGGGGAAGGCCTCGGCCTCTCTGCCCTGTTGCTGGCCCTCCAGAGGAACTGGTTGAGGCCACTATGTGAGACAGGATGCTGGACTAGAGGGACCCTCACTGGTCTGACCCAGCAGGGCTCTTCTGATGTTCTTATGAGGGGAAGGCCTCGGCCTCTCTGCCCTGTTGCTGGCCCTCCAGAGGAACTGGTTGAGGCCACTATGTGAGACAGGATGCTGGACTAGAGGGACCCTCACTGGTCTGACCCAGCAGGGCTCTTCTGATGTTCTTATGAGGGGAAGGCCTCGGCCTCTCTGCCCTGTTGCTGGCCCTCCAGAGGAACTGGTTGAGGCCACTATGTGAGACAGGATGCTGGACTAGAGGGACCCTCACTGGTCTGACCCAGCAGGGCTCTTCTGATGTTCTTATGAGGGGAAGGCCTCGGCCTCTCTGCCCTGTTGCTGGCCCTCCAGAGGAACTGGTTGAGGCCACTATGTGAGACAGGATGCTGGACTAGAGGGACCCTCACTGGTCTGACCCAGCAGGGCTCTTCTGATGTTCTTATGAGGGGAAGGCCTCGGCCTCTCTGCCCTGTTGCTGGCCCTCCAGAGGAACTGGTTGAGGCCACTATGTGAGACAGGATGCTGGACTAGAGGGACCCTCACTGGTCTGACCCAGCAGGGCTCTTCTGATGTTCTTATGAGGGGAAGGCCTCGGCCTCTCTGCCCTGTTGCTGGCCCTCCAGAGGAACTGGTTGAGGCCACTATGTGAGACAGGATGCTGGACTAGAGGGACCCTCACTGGTCTGACCCAGCAGGGCTCTTCTGATGTTCTTATGAGGGGAAGGCCTCGGCCTCTCTGCCCTGTTGCTGGCCCTCCAGAGGAACTGGTTGAGGCCACTATGTGAGACAGGATGCTGGACTAGAGGGACCCTCACTGGTCTGACCCAGCAGGGCTCTTCTGATGTTCTTATGAGGGGAAGGCCTCGGCCTCTCTGCCCTGTTGCTGGCCCTCCAGGGGAACTGGTTGAGGCCACTGTGTGAGACGGGATGCTGGACTAGAGGGACCCTCACTGGTCTGACCCAGCAGGGCTCTTCTGATGTTTTTATGAGGGGAAGGCCTCGGCCTCTCTGCCCTTTGCTGGCCCTCCAGAGGAACTGGTTGAGGCCGCTGTGTGAGACAGGATGCTGGACTAGATGGACCCTCACTGGTCTGATCCAGTAGGGCTCTTTTGATGTTCTTATGAGGGGAAGGCCTCGGCCTCTCTGCCCTGTTGCTGGCCCTCCAGAGGAACTGGTTGAGGCCACTATGTGAGACAGGATGCTGGACTAGATCCAGCAGGGCTCTTCTTCTTCTTTCGTTTCTGGTTGTAGTTTTTTTGTGTGGTATTTTTCATATATGTGTGTATGTGTGTGCACCTGGAAGTCATGGCGACCTCTGGTGACTGGCCCCTACTGGGGGCCTAAACAAAGCCTCCCCCTGCCTCCTGCCTCTGGTATTCCAAGGAAGTCTCCCATCCAAATACTTGCCAGAGTCAGCCCTGCTTAATTTCCGATTTCTGACGAGATTGGGCTCGCCTGGGCTACCCAGGTCGGTCCGGCAGGGCTCTTCTGATATTCTTATGCACTGTGTGAAGAAGGGCGCTTCCTCCTCTCTGTCCTGAGCACTGCTGCCCTGCCGTTTCATGGGTTCTAGTGTTACAGGAGACAATATTCCCTCTATCCCCTTTTCTCTGCGCCGTGCATAATTTCATATTTTTATTGATTAATTGCATCTCTCCTCAGCTCCGCTTCCCTCCCGGAGAATCAAGGTGACACAGATCAGGTTCCCAGGAGCTCCCCCATCCGGGCACCGGCCAGGCTGGCTCAGCTTCGCCCCGGTGGCTGCGGCTGGTGCCTTCCCATCAGGCCTCAGGCTGGCATTCAATGCCGCTCGTGAGCAAGCAGGTG